CCCCCCCCCTCTCTCTCTCTCAAGGCATACGATCTTTCTCTCCATCTCCTTTTTATATGTATTCAACAACCTTGCATCACATCCTTTCAAGAAAAACAATATGCATAACATAGCATGAATGAACCTAGACAAATTTTGAATTTATTACTTTTATTTTCTTTATCTAAAAAATAAATGTTTGTATTAAGTTTATATAAGTTTTGAATTAAAAATAATGAATATTGTAAAAGAAACAGAAAGACGTGCTTTCAAGATGATAGAATTGTAGGATTTTGAAGCGAAACAAGAAGTTAGTAGAATGTTGATGTGACTTACAAAAGTTGACTTTTGGACATATTTAAGGAAGAGAAAAAATAGAGTTGATTTTTCGAAATTGCCATTACTTTTTAGGAAGGGTAATAATGAATGAGAAGATAAGGTGGAGAAGAGTGACTTATTTTAGGGATAGTTTAGATATTTTACTTTTAAAAGTTTACGATAACAAGCAACAGACCACTTATTTTGGGACAAAGAAAAAAGGCAAACAAACAATTTAAAATGAGACAGAGGGAGTATAAATTTTGATATAATGTAGGTTGTTTTTTATTTTGATACAAACTATAAATAAACTATTTAAGAAAAATATTATTTTGCACATTACTTGAAATATGACAATTTTCTAGGGACATAGGAAGTACAAACACAAAGCTATCAAAGTCACCTTTGGTAAAGAACCTAGGCCCAAGCAATGGGCCTAAAACCCAGAAACAATGTTAAAAGAGCTCAAAGTTCAAAGTACATGACAATAATTGTGCAACATATCCAAAAAGATATGACTGGCATTGCTGCTCTGCTTCCATGAGTTGCTCAAAAGGGTGAGATGCAAAAAAACAGTGATGAGGACTTTGAGGATGAGAAATTTTTTTTAGTTTTTTTTCAAAAACAAAAAAAATTGAAAATAAAAGGTCAAAATCTTTCTTTTATCTACCACTTTCTTTCCCCTTTACTTCCCACCATTTTTCTCCACCCCCACCCCCACCCCCACCCTACCTCTATTATCTTCACAATTTTCTACCATTGTGTCTTTGTGTATATATAAACAATTGGTCACAAGGCCTTTAAAGTCTACCATTTTTTTCTTCCAGTTTTAAAAACTGTGTGCACTGTGTAGTTGCCAAAGAACTGAACTTTCTTTGTCTTCTTTAGTTGATTCTTGATTTTTTTGATTAATCACCATTCATAAAACTTCAATTCCCAATCATGGATGAGCAGAACATGTTTCCCAATGATGGAATCACAATGCCATACGGAATTGGAATTCAGGGCAGCGACTTGTTCGGTTCAAGCTGGCAGAATCCGGCGGATCCGAATGACCCGTTCCGGTCGGCGTTGAGCTCCATGGTCTCGTCTCCGGCGGCGTCCAACGCCGGCAGAGGAGGAGGTAACAGCTCCGTCAGGGATCAGGTGTTTGTACTCAGGGAACTGATTGGCAGGCTGGGAAGCTACGACCACTCCTCCGGCGAGATTTCACCGGTCGGTTGCGCTCCCGCCGCCGGTTATCATTCCCCTCCCAAGCTGAATCTCTCGTCAATGGCGGGTCATCAGATCAGGGCCACCGCTTTCCCCATTCAACCCGAAATCTCGCAGCACTTCTCCTTGGATCCGGGTTTCGCTGGGACAGTTTCTTGTTTTTCCGGCAAGGGTTTGATGGATTCCGGCAAGCAGCCGGTCAAGAAACCCACTCCGGAAAGCTCAGAATTGGGTAATTCCAGGGAGAACTCCACAGTCTCGGAGCAGATTCCGTCTGGGGAAATCTGCAAAAACGACACAAATCCAAGAAAGAGGAAAGCTGCTGCAAAGGGGAAAGCCAAAGAAACAAGAACACCATCTCCCAATGTAATGCTATCTTCTTTAATCCTCTTCATTCTTGAATTCCATATCTTCTTTTTCCTTAAATTTTTGTGGAAATTGAGGAGAGTTAAACTGGATTTGAGCAGGTGGCAGCATCGGAGAACAAAGAAACCTTAAATAATCCCAAAAGAGCAAAACCAGATGAGCAAAAACTGGGAAAAGCGAATAATCACCCAAAGGCTGCAGAACCTTTGAAAGACTATATTCATGTGAGAGCCAGAAGGGGTCAAGCAACGGATGCCCATAGCCTTGCAGAGAGAGTCAGAAGAGAAAAGATCAGTGAAAGAATGAAGCTTTTGCAAGATCTTGTCCCAGGCTGCAATAAGGTGCAATAAGAATGGAGCTTTTGCAAGATTGATTTTTCCTTAAATATAGAAAGAAAGAAAAAAACAAACTTGTGCAGAACTATAACAAAAGTTTTTCTTGGTTGATAGGTGACTGGAAAAGCTGTCATGTTAGATGAAATCATAAACTATGTGCAATCCTTGCAACGGCAAGTTGAGGTAAAAAAAACAAAAACAAAAACAATCACCCCTTCCTGCATTTTACTGCTATATATCATTATTTTCTTCAAGTACATTTTTTACCCATGTGGAATGACTTTTAACATTGTGTATCTATCTTTTGGTTGTAGTTCCTATCAATGAAGCTAGCCACAGTAAATCCAAGAATGGAGTTCAACATGGAAGCTCTTCTCCCCAAGGATGTAAGTAACAGTCACTCACAATCACTCCTACTCTGATTGGAAATCTTTGTGTGCTAAAGATACTAACTTTATGTGTGAAAATCGCGACGACACAATCTCAGTTGTACCAATATCCCGGAGCAATGGCACACGACATTTTTCCATCAGCAGATGCCACCGGATCGCCAATCCCATTCTCTTTTCAACCTCAGCATTCGCACCTTCATAAACGATTAGATGCCCCTTTCCCCATAAACAACAGCAGTAGAGACCAACTCCATTCTTCTATGGACACATTTCTTGATCCTTCTTCTCAGGTAACTGAACTTGCCATACTTTTGTTGCCCAATAGCCAGTTCCTATGCACTCCGTAGTATTTACTTTGTTACTCCTGTATAATAATGCTCAAACTATGAATTTCCAGGTGCCAGCATTCT